AGTGCATACTTACTTCCCCCAATTGATTCTTGGCGATTGCAAAAAAAAATGGGCAAACATTTTTATGCGTGACTCCTCTTCAAAATAGGGACAAACTGTTAGGTTGACAAATGACGAGAAATTAATCGATCAACTTCTTTGATCTCAGCAACTTAATGGAAGACATGTCAATAAATAAGAGGGAAGCATGTGCCTTTTACAGGGAAGCATGCGGAATGCGAAATAGAGAATATCTTCCCATAGCATGCAAGTAAAAGGACCTCTTGTGGTGGAGGTAAAAGGACCTCTTGTGGTGGAGGTAAAAGGACCTCTTGTGGTGGAGGTATAAGGACCTCTTGTGGTGGAAGTAAAAGGACCTCTTGTGGTGGAGGTAAAAGGACCTCTTGTGGTGGAGGTAAAAGGACCTCTTGTAGTGGAGGTAAAAGGACTTCTTGTTGCATCGATCACATCACCCCTGATGAAGGCACAAGACAGGAGTGTCGAAACGTTGGGTCGATGAATTGTAATTACCCGGTTACTTTCATTAATCCTTAAACCAGAGTAGCATCAAACCATGTGTGATTGTCCACCTGGTTGCTTTGTAAAGTTTAATGGAAGTGAAAAGTTAGGAATATGCTTGCGAAAATATGGATCATAAGATGGTCTACTAAACTCATATAGGGGAGTTTGAGACGAAACAAGGAAGAATTTCTCACATCCTAGTCGTGTTCCGTAACTTGTTCAGTCTCACTGACTGGCCAGCCCCACCGTTTTTAAGCGATCGACTTACGCTGTAGTATTTTTTCAAAGCAACAGAATTTCAAAGGTTCAGTGTAATTATTTTAAGTTTATTCAGTTTGTGACCTCAAAATTATTTATTACTTATTTAACTACAATGAAGTTTTCTTCTGCACGGATTCTAAGCGGTCACAGTTGATAAGGTACGTACGTCACTCATGAGCGCTGAAACAGAATGAAAGATCTAGTTTATGTTATAGAAAAAGTTATTCTTCATCGTGGTTTTAAAGATAAATGAATATTTAATCGTTTGTCTCAAGATGTAAGATTCATGTTAATAAATCGGGTTACGGTCGCGAGGTTTCGACCGCTATACTGCAGGTCTTCGTCAGGCGACGAGGTCGAAAGTTTTCCGTGTCGCGATTTATAGCACTGGCGCACTTATGTTTGTTGTTATGGGTGGGTTATGACGCGCTGTCAACAAACCACGGTGTTATAAATAGCGACAAGTAAACTTTTGACCTCGTCGACCAACGAAGGTTTGCAGTATAGCAGTCGAAACATCGCGAAAAATACACTATTCAGTAAGCCTAATTTTTCTTGATGTATGGATGAATGAATATGTGAATGGATGGGTGGACTGGTGAAAGAATGGAAGAATCAACTGAGGTAACTTTTGTGTCCTCAATCAAACCCTTCCCGTAAACTTTCATGTTATGATAAAGTAAAAGCTATTTTGATGGTTGAGGAATTTGTGATCGCTGTGTCACAAAAAACAAAACAAACAAACAAACACCGGCTTTACTTGTAAGATACTCTCCAAGTGTAGCACTCGACTTGGAGCTATTCGGAGCCTTTCGTACTCGAGTCGTTCAGAGCTACTTGAAATTAATAAAACTCTACGCTTAAGCCACAAGTATTATTTAGTTCTTATTAACCAAGCGGGAGGTCTGTATGGGAGAATCTTGACCAAGGTCGCCAGTACAGACAGAACGCAGTGAGGTCTGTACCAGCGACCGAGGTCAAGATTCTCCCATACAGACCGACCTAGCTCGGTTAATAAGATGTTTAGTATATGGCTGTGTCTTATATGCCAACTTTTTATATCCTTTGTACCTTTTTTTTCTAAACCGGTCTAGATGCCGGTCTAGACGGGAAAATCTAGACCGCTTTCAATATTGATTTCAGCCAATCAAATTCGTGAATTCGGTAGTTCCCAGGCCTTGTGAGACACAGCCATATAATAATGGGCCTTATTGAAGTCACTTGGAACTTCTCCTCAGCATGGAACGAACCCTCACCACCGAGGTCTACTATAATGGATTTCATCGCACTAATAAATGAATGAACAACGCAATAATATGGCAATACTAACATCATCACAGCATTGCATGGTTGAATCACTGCATACTCCATTTAACATTGGCCATCCATCACAGAACGATTCTCTAGGTATACACGAGTCGGTGCATGGATATGTCTGCCCCAACGGTGATCTCTTGACTCGTTCCTTCATTCCTCCTGTGAGGACCAATCAAATGGTCGTCAGTATTTCAGGGCTGACAGGGGAGGTAGTTATCTCATACAAAGAGGACCTACAAACCTTTCTAGATCAAATATTGTAACAACCCTCTTACTTTGATGAGATTCCGCCATTACAATCCTCAGGTTAAAGGGTCCATCCTTTCTTTCCTCGAGGTGATCGGTGTATAAATTCTCGGGGGTACACTCAGGATTATTCGAAGGGGTTCATCAGAGGGGGCTCAAGGTTTCGAATTTTCGC